TTATATGATAGTCCTTATTCTGCCCTACATTTATGTCCTAAAAACTTTGCCCAAGTCGACAGCATGTTCGAGATATGGCACTTCAAAGTTGGTCAGACGAACATTTTCACGTTACATTGAAAATGCTCTCACCAGATACTGGATAAATAAATCGCCTTCAAACTTTTTCTGTTAATAGCTTTAAATAGTTTTTTTATTTTAAGATATAAACAATTGCAAATAACTTTGGAAAATTTTGTGAAAAACTTGATTTTTCTCAAAAACCACGTGTTCGTCATACTTTCGTTTGTCTAGGTCTTCACAAGCACAACTAAAGTTACTAATTTCTTTTTTATATTAAATATTACACCAAAAGCTATAATTTTTGTATGCATGTCATATAATTTTAACAAAGTTTTGGAAGTGAAAAAATTTTTTTTTTAAAAAAAAACACCAATTTTTTGACAAAAATCGCTATAATGCTTCGAGATACCCATGGTAGTGGAATTTTATTTCACATTTAGAAAGCTCTCTGGATATGCTATCAACTAATGCAGTAACATGAACAAGTGTTGTCTTGGCAAAGAGCACTTTTTTGACTCTGAAAGTCGTATGTCGAGCAAGTTCAAAAAAGAAACATAATCATAAAAATTTCAGTTTTAAATAAAATTTAATTTTTTTAAATTAAATTGATAGATCTTTTCAAAACGCGTCTTTTGAGTATAAATTTGTCATAGTTTTGTCAAGTATCATGATCATTTTTTTTTAAAAAATAGTTTTTTCCAAAAAAAAATTAAAAAATAAAGTATTTGACTTTACAATTTCATAAAATGCATTCTTTTTATCATTTTTTTGTAGGTGTGAAGTACGACCGAGACCCATATCGACACAGTTCAAAAGTTATACCTAATTTATGTCAAAATTATGTCAACTACAAAAACACTTAGATTGAATTTTGTCACCCTCGGGAACACTATAAACCAGTATAGCTGATTTTGGTCCAAATCTCGGCCATTCTTCACACTTATTTGAACCACATTTTCTCGTAAATGTTAAAATATTATTAAAAAGTAATTAATCCTGAATTATGTCACTATTTTTTCAAGTGTTTTAAGATAAAGAATTTTTTTTTGGTTTCCACATTAAAGAGTATGAACAAAATTCAGATGGGGTAGTCGAAATTTTAGATTTCGATTTTTTATAAGCTATGCATTACAAAAAGTAAAATTGGAATGTGATTTATTTCAGAATTATGTCAATCCAAATAAAACATTCAAAAAATTTTTTTGACCAAAGTACACCATGGAAAACCAATTTCCAATTTTGGACTAGGGGCGACCCTAGTCAAAATCAATTTTGTCACTTTTTTCTTTGAAGGTTTATCCAAATAGATTGAAACTTTGCATAAATTTTCAAGTGCTTAAAATAAATACAAATAAAACATTTTAAAATTTTTTTGAGCAAAGAACCAAGTAGGAAATACATTTTCAATTTTGGACTAGGGGCGACCGTAGTCAAAATCAATTTTGTCACTTTTTTCTTCGAGGGTTTATCCAAATGGATTGAAACTTTGCATAAATATTTTTGTGCTTAAAAGAAAAACAAATAAAACATCTTAAAATTTTTTTGAGCAAAGAACCAAGTAGGAAATACATTTCCAATTATGAACTTGGGACAGGTCTAGTCAAAATCTAGTTTTTCACTTTTTTTTCTTCGAAGGTTTATCCAATTACAGTGAAACTTTGTGTGAGTATACTAATATTTCTACAAAACAGTTTTAAATATCTAAAGCAAGAAATGTATTCTATATGTCGTCAGACCCAAATTTTATAAATGTGATTGTACATTCAAATTAACGTGACTTAAAATTTTGTCCAAAAAAATGATTTTTATTAATTCAGAAATGTGTGACCTGAGGATTAGAATGCTCATACAAAGTTTTCCTGTGTTTGGATTTATCCTCGAAGAAAAAAAAAAATGAAAAACTAGATTTTGACTAGACCTGTCCCAAGTTCATAATTGAAAATGTATTTCCTACTTGGTTCTTTGCTCAAAAATTTTTTAGAATGTTTTATTTGTATTTGTTTTAAGCACTAGAATATTTATGCAAAGTTTCAATCCATTTGTATAAACCCTCGAAGAAAAAAGTGACAAAATTGATTTTGACTAGGGTCGCCCCTAGTCCAAAATTGAAAATGTATTTCCTACTTGGTTCTTTGCTCAAAAAAATTTTAGGATGTTTTGTTTGTATTTGTTTTAAGCACTAGAATATTTATGCAAAGTTTCAATCTATTTGGATAAACCCTCGAAGAAAAAGTGACAAAATTGATTTTGACTAGGGTCGCCCCTAGTCCAAAATTGAAAATGTATTTCCTCCTTGATTCTTTGTTCAAAAAAATTTAAAATGTTTTATTTATATTTGTTTTAAGCACTAGAATATTTATGCCAAGTTTTAATCCATTTGGATAAACCCTCGAAGAAAAAAGTGACAAAATTGATTTTGACTAGGGTCGCCCCTAGTCCAAAATTGAAAATGTATTTCCTACTTGGTTCTTTGCTCAAAAAAATTTTAGGATGTTTTGTTTGTATTTGTTTTAAGCACTAGAATATTTATGCAAAGTTTCAATCCATTTGTAAAAACCCTCGAAGAAAAAAGTGACAAAATTGATTATGACTAGGGTCGCCCCTAGTCCAAAATTGAAAATGTATTTCCTACTTGGTTCTTTGCTCAAAAAAATTTTAGAATGTTTTATTTGTATTTGTTTTAAGCACTTCAATATTTATGCAAAGTTTCAATCCATTTGTATAAACCCTCGAAGAAAAAAGTGACAAAATTGATTTTGACTAGGGTCGCCCCTAGTCCAAAATTGAAAATGTTTGTCCAACTTGGTTCTTTGTTAACAAAACATTTTGGATGTTTTATTTGTATTTGTTTTAAGCACTAGAATATTTATGCAAAGTTTCAATCCATTTGGATAAACATTCGAAAAAAAAATGAAAAACTAGATTTTGACTAGACCTGTCCCAATTTGATAATTGAAAATGTATTCCTACTTGGTTCTTTGCTCAAAAAAGTTTTAAGATGTTTTATTTGTATTTGTTTCAAGCACTACAATAATTATGCAGCGTTTTAATCCATTTGTATAAACCCTCGAAGAAAAAAGTGAGAAAATTGATTTTGACTAGGGTCGCCCCTAGTCCAAAATTGAAAATGTATTTCCTACTTCGTTCTTTGCTCATGAAAGTTTTAGGATGCTTTATTTGTATTTGTTTTAAACATTTGATTATTTATGCAAAGTTTCAATCCATTTGTAAAAACCCTCGAAGAAAAAAGTGTCAAAATTGATTATGACTAGGGTCGCCCCTAGTCCAAAATTGAAAATGTATTTCCTACTTGGTTCTTTGGTCAAAAAAATTTTAAGGATATTTTTTTTGTATCTGTTTTAAGCACTAAAATAGTTATGCAAAGTTTCAATCTATTTGGATAAACCCTCGAAGAAAAAAGTGAGAAAATTGATTTTGACTAGGGTCGCCCCTAGTCCAAAATTGAAAATGTATTTCCTACTTGGTTCTTTGGTCAAAAAAATTTTAAGGATATTTTTTTTGTATCTGTTTTAAGCACTAAAATAGTTATGCAAAGTTTCAATCTATTTGGATAAACCCTCGAAGAAAAAAGTGAGAAAATTGATTTTGACTAGGGTCGCCCCTAGTCCAAAATTGAAAATGTATTTCCTACTTGGTTCTTTGGTCAAAAAAATTTTAAGGATATTTTTTTTGTATCTGTTTTAAGCACTAAAATAGTTATGCAAAGTTTCAATCTATTTGGATAAACCCTCGAAGAAAAAAGTGAGAAAATTGATTTTGACTAGGGTCGCCCCTAGTCCAAAATTGAAAATGTATTTCCTACTTCGTTCTTTGCTCAAAAAAGTTTTTGGATGTTTTATTTGTATTGTTTTTAAGCAATAGAATATTTGTGCAAAGTTTCAATCCATTTGTAAAAACCCTCAAAGAAAAAAGTGACAAAATTGATTTTGACTAGGGTCGCCCCTTGTCCAAAATTGAAAATTGATTTTCTATGGTGTACTTTGGTCAAAAAAATTTTTTGAATGTTTTATTTGAATTGACATAATTCTGACATAAATCACATACCAATATTACTTTTTGTAAGGTATAGCTGAAAAAAATCGAAATCTAAAATTTCGACTACCCCATCTGAATTTTGTTCATACTCTTTACTGTGGAAACCAAAAAACAAATTCTTTATCCTAAAACACTTGACAAAATAGCGACATAATTCAGGATTAATTACTTTTTAATAATATCTTAACATTAACGAGAAAATGTGGTTCAAATAAGTGTGAAGAATGGCCGAGATTTGGACCAAAATCAGCTATACTGGTTTATAGTGTTCCCGAGGGTGACAAAATTCAATCTAAGTGTTTTTGTAGCTGACATAATTATGACATAAATTAGGTATAACTTTTGAACTGTGTCGATATGGGTCTCGGCCGTACTTCATGCCCACAAATAAAAATGATAACTTGATAAAATGATTTGCCAAGACAACTCTTGTTCATTTTACTGCATTAGTTGATAGCATATCCAGAGAGCTTTCTAAATGTGAAATAAAATTTCACTCACATGGGTATCCCTGAAGCATTATAGCGATTTTTGTCAAAAAATTTGTGTTTTTTTTTATAAAAAAACTTTTTTCACTACCAAAACTTTGTTAAAATTATATGAAATGTAAACAGAAATTATAGCTTTTGGTGTAATCTTTAATATAAAAAAGAAATTAGTAACTTTAGTTGTGCTTGTGAAGATCTAGACAAACGAAAGTATGACAAACACGTGGTTTTTGAGAAAAATCAAGTTTTTCACAAAATTTTCCAAAGCTATTTGCAATTGTTTATATCTTAAAATAAAGGAACTATTTAAAGCTATTAACAAAAAAAGTTTGAAGGCGATTCACTTATCCAGTATCTGGTGAGAGTATTTTAAATGTAACGTGAAAATGGTCGACTGACCAACTTTGAAGTGCCATATCTCGGACATGCTGTCGACTTGTGCAAAGTTTTTAGGACATAAATGTAGGGCAGAATAAGGACTATCATATAAGTTGTAGAAATAATTTTTGGAAAAAATTTCCATTTCTGGCCCACAGTGGAACCTTCTTTAATACTCAGAGACAATCAGCTTATTTGGACAAGACATTTTCAAACAATTTCGGATACTTTTGAGAACAGCTGCAGACACGTTCAATATTATAAATTTTTGACGACTCAGGAGTCTGATCTTGCTGTGGTTGAATACTTGAATTCAAAGGAGTTCCTATGTCCTTTTTATTTAGCAACAACGATGAACGTTCATCGTCAGCATCATATTGTGCACTGCTTCGTTGAATACTTTCTGTAAATGGCTTGCAAGTTGCACAGGATGGTGAGCATAAAGGAGCCTCTAAACTGCATGGATGAGGTTTTAAATGCGATGTACATGAGTCCGAACAAACTTTGTATCTCTGACTGCATGAGTGCCTAGTTGGAGAACGCTCGACTATATCGTGTTGTTTAATTTTGCAAGTTGATTCACCAAGTTGTGATGTTATTTCACATGCAGCTGAAGTTACTTTATAGATGAATTCTGATAAGTTATCGCTAGATATTTTAGAAAGGCTCTGTTTTCTTGAAATTTGACTTTGGAGATCTGGAGCAATTGATCTTGGTTCCGATGACTGTCTAGATGAAGTTTCAATTAAATCCTGTTGCTGTTTAATATTACCAAGCATATCGTTGTCAAAAATTTCAGTGTATCTTTTATCAGCAATTGATCTTCTCGTGTCATATTTAGTTTGAGGAATCGTGACTACAGAGAGTTTTGAACCGTTGACACTGCTTGTTTGAGTAGTTTTTGTTTTCAATGCAATACTGTCAAGAATATCATTATTAATGACGTCAGTGGATCTCGTTACCCTTGTTGATTGTGTTAAATCTAGTTTTGGAACTTGAATAGAAGATTTTTCACCAGAAGCTTCCACACACTCTAAACTGCTGTTGTAACTTGAAGCTGTTTTTGGTACTTTTAATGCCCCTATATTCATTTCAGGTTCAAGTGTGACTAATTTTAACTGATCTCGATTGAAAAACTCTAAAGATTCTCTAAAATCAACAGGCATTCCAAACATATCATTATCATAAATGTTTGAGTATCTCTGTTCCTTTGATGATCTTTTTGAATCTCTGATAGGATCCTCATTAACAAGTGGTTCAAATGATCCACAAATATCATTACAAAAAATTTCTGTGTATCTGGATTCTCTCGTTGATTTCCTCGCTTGAATTCTTTCAAGTTCCCTTTTATGAAATTTGTCAATATCATCAAAAATATCGTCATCTTGAATTGTTGTCACCTGAATACTTTGAGAAACAGAAGGAAAGTCAGATATTCTGTAAGGCTTTTCAGTCTCAGTCGGCAATATAGAACTGATTCTTGTAGATTTTTTTGGTGACATACTCTCAGCAGGGAATTTGGAACTGATTCTTGCAGATTCTTTAGAAGATATGCTTTCGATAGGTAATTTCGAACTGAAAATTAAGGATTCAGAACTCTCAGCAGACACTTTGGAACTAATTTTTTTAAATTCTTTTAGTGAGGTGCTCTCAATAGACGATTCAAGACTGATTCTTAAAGCTTCTTTTAGTGGCATGTTCTCAACAGGCAACTTAGAACTGATTGTTTTAGATTCTTTTGATGATATGGACTCAGCATTTGTGGAATTTTTTTCTTCAGCCTTTATTAAACCACTAGTTTGATTATCTGTAGCTGTTGATCGTCTTTCATTTTCAGCTTCCATTGACTTGCGAATTTTTTCAAGCGTTTTTTCCCTTAACATTTTAATTTTCGAGCATCTACAGATTCTTTGTGGACTTGTTGATCTCCGTTCTTTGTGTGGATTCAATAATGAGTCGTTCTTGAGATCTTCAGTTAGTGAGACTTTTTCGCGATATGAAGATGCTGGAATTGAATATTTTTACTTAATTCACAAATTTGAGCGAATGCACAAGCATAAATCAACTCAAATACATCAAATTGTTTAAACTATGGTATCATCAAGCTAATTCAACTAACCTATAGCCTCAGCATCAGCCTCTTTACTTCCACGTCCTTCACCAAGTGGCTTTAAATTTTCTGAATTATTCTATAACAAAAAGAAAAATAAGATTAATTTCATGCTAGAAAAATCTCCTTTGGACATCAATTTTATTTTAAATTTCAAATACCATTTTTGTCCTTGCTTGCGCGAATTTAAAACAAGAATTTGGAAATGAATTTTTCGAACGAGAATAAAAATTTTGCGATGTCAGAGATTAAAATGAAATTTTTTTATGTAAGAAAAAAAAAATCTCAACGATTACTGCAAATGAAAAATAAAAGGAAAATTTTATCCAAAGTAATTTGGTAGCAAAAAAAATTTTTGAGTGCTCAATTCTGATAACGATTTTCTCATGATGAAAAAAAAATCCATTAATAATGAAATTTTTAAAGTACAGAAGAAGTTTAAAAGACATAAAAAATACCATAAAATTATCAAAAACGTAGAGTAAATTTTACTGATGTATTAAAGTGATCTTTAAAGAGATTAAAGCCGGTCGTACAATTTCTGTTTCATTGGCAATAAATTTTCAAGCCATCAATCTATGGAAAAAATATATTAAGGCATGCAATTTTCTCGCATACGATGACAAATAAATTTCCCATTCTGAGCACACTAAAACTCACTGTCAAATTGATTTATTACTCATATGAAGAAATATTTTGCACTCCTTCATATACTTTTTATAACTTCTTTATTATGCTTCATATTTTTCTTCATAGATTCGTTTTTATGAGTAGAATTACTTTTCTAATTTTTTCTCCTCTTAGTTTCTCTAATCCCGAATATATCATGAGAATGATATTCATAAAGTTATTAGAATTTTCTATTTCCGTATTTTAAAAAAAAATATATAAGCATTTGATAAATGTATCTACTCATTAGGGGCTGTTCACGTCCAGGGGGGGGGGGGGGGGGTATCAAGAAAAGAACAAAAGCAGTTTCTGGAAATCCATTGTTCTTTTTTGAAAAATGACCATTAATTTCATACATCAAAAGTGAACGACCCCTTAGTCATTTACTTTTGTTTAAATAGGTATAAAGAATATATAAAAAAAATTGAAAAGAAATTCCTGACATAAAAAAACACTTAAAAATCATATTTTCAGCAATAACAAGATTTATCAAAAAAATTGTGTCTCAAAAATTTTCAAAATCACGCGAGTCAAACAATGAAAATCACGTGTAGCTATCACATTTCTGAACGACAAGAGACATTTAAAAAATCGGAAAAATCAAAGCACCAGACAATTGTCAACAATCTGCCTTGTTTAAAGATAAAGTCGCACGCGAGAAACAAGTGAAAAAGTCAAGAATCAATAATATCATTAGAAGAGCAATGCAATTGCTCTTATAAGGGGATTCTCCCAACTTCGGTCTTAGTACAAATGTGAAAAAAACTTTGTCATCTTACAATAACGTTGTTTTCTTACGTTTGAATGAAATGAAATTATAAAACATCTGTCTAAATATCTTCATACTTAGACTCGAAAGAATCATGTGATATGATCAGACAGTTAAGTATGAATCATCGTTTTTAAAAAACTTGTTTGAATGTCTCGAAGTATTTATGCAAGTTTTTTTGTTTATAAAATACAAAAGGAGTTCGCAAAGAATAAAGAAGCAGAAGTTATCATATATTGTGTTGGGGTCATTGATTTATAATGTCCAGTATTAAGGAGTGTCATGTATTGAAAAATATCTGGAACTACGTGAGACTTTGTTGAGACTTTTTAAAATTAAAATTACGACATCTTTTTTTTAATACCAAAAGGGCACTGTTTACTTAATTTGTATATTTCTCTCCCTTTCTCTACCTTTACTTAAATTGTTACAAAACTTTCCATATGAAAAAAAAACTTTCAAAATAGTAAGTAAAATGAATGGACGACCTCAAAACAAAGTAAGGAGATATAAAAGAATTTTAAATTTATTGATTATTAATTGTAAATTAATTGAAGTATTGTTCATAGTCAGCCGATCGATCATACAAAAGTTGTTGGGGGCAGTGGAATAGCCAGAACTTCGAATAGAGGAATCTTGAAATTTTCATATTCACACAAATTTTCAATTTTTGTTTTTCCTTTGAAATAGCCCAGCAAATGAATGCATTTTATCAGAGTGATTACCTTTATCATAATAAATCGCAGAAAATATGTACACTAAAAATACAAATTGCTCCAAAAATAAGAACTTATAGTGAACTTATTTCGAAAATAAGAACTTCGACGATTCGAAATTTGAAAAAAATAACTTCAAAAATTCAAAGTGTGAAAAATTTCTTTAAGTTAACATTGGTCTCTGAATACTACTCTGGTCGAAACAATGATATATCATCATATCTAAGAAGACACTTGATTAACCGGTTGAGAGTGGTATGTTAAGTAAAACTTTATCCATGACATACAATAAGAAATTATTTTTTTTAAATTTCTCTCACGTGATTCCGGTGATTCTCTTGATTTCCAAATTAAATTTATAATTCAGTTATAAAATTTGTGAAATGAGTTTTAATGCTGCGGATTTTAGAAAAACATTTTGTACTAAAATTTAAATTAATTAAATTTATTTAAGAGAGGGACGGTGGTTAGACAAACAACACCAAATCATTAAGTTTCCTTTGTTAAAGCCATGTTTCTGAAAAGAACATTTACAATCACATTACGTCGTCATTATTTTCAATTACTTACAAAAGTTCTTACACAACATCACGAGATCTTCAAAGGAAGTTTCAAAAAAGTAATGGTTTACTTACGTTTTACCAGTAAACAGCAGTTAAGAAACAAGAGTGACGTAGAAAAAAAAACTTGAATGTAAAAAAAGCAGCTGAAAATGTTCACGTAAAAGCTATCTTCTACTCATTTATAAATGTGATGCGATAGTGAGCACAAATCTAAAAGAAATAAAAAGAAATTTAAAACTTTAAAGTACATAAAATCAAGTGGGCAATTTAAAAAATAAGTCTTATAGAAATAAATCAGTTCAACAAAAATAAGGTGAGTAGCATCATGCTTTGATTCGAAATTAAAACGGGTTTTCAAAAAATTGGATAAATTATTTTTCGCAAATTGGTAAGTTTGGATAAAAAAAAAGAACTTCAAAGACTAGACAGAAGTAAGCATTTATTGCAATGCCTACAACTCTTAAAAAAGTTTTATTATAATAGGTAGAGTTGGTTAAAATAAAAAGAACAGATGAACTGGACGTGATCAGGTGGTTTTTCTAAGCAAAATAAGCGAAACAAAAAAAATTAAACTGTGTTTTTTGATAATTAATATTTTTTATTTTTAAAATCTTATAATTATCTCTATTTAACCCCGGAAAAGAAATTGAATGCTCTACTTAATGATAAAAAGACGATGATCATTTTCTCTTAACGAGAGTTTTGCAGACAGGAACAGATAATGCTAGAAATAAATTATTGTTTTTAAAATGATTCACTATTCAAAATTATCACTACATCCATGATTCACAGAAGAATATGAAAAAAGTTTTTTTTTGTTGTTGATAAAAATAATTTTAGTATCAATAACAATGTATAAACTCTTTTAATGTACTCAAAATTTCCTATGACGTTTGTTTAGATACGTGGGATAATTCGTGGATAATCAATTTACTAAATTGTGCTTAACATCATGCACATCTCCCCAAATTCTAAACTAAGTAAAAATGTGTATGATAGTTAAGTTTGTTTATAATAAATAAGTTATATTTTCATATCTAGCGATAAACGGTTTCAATTATCATAGTGCTAATTGACTGCTAAGTTTGAATTTTGCAAAATTTCAATATTTACTTTGTTTGAACAGGTGATGTCTTTAAAACATATTTTACAAACCATTTCGGTCAGCTAATATCTCACTTTATTTCCACGTCACTATATTGATAGTTAAAATCCTTAAAATGAGTAATACTTGTGTACATAATAAATTTATATTTTATCTACTATGCTAATCGAATGATCAAAACATACTTATTTCAGTGCATGCTGAACATTCATAGTTAGACATTTTAGTGTGTCACGAAATTTTAGAAGAAAAACTACTCCAAGATGGAATATTCGAGTTCAGTTCTTAAAGTTAATGATAAACATACAAAAGGAAATGATAGAAATATTCAGTTCAATTCGAGTTTTTTTCCATTTTTTTTATAATGAGCAATTGAAGCTATTCAAGATAATGATGCAAATTTGTTTAGCGCACGTAAGTCTGTTTCCTCATACGTTAAAAAGTCACTTCAATTGATATCGTCAATAGCTAATCTAATAATTTTAAGATACATTCATTGATAATGAAAACCAGCAATTTGTTTTAATTCTCATTGTTTTCACTATTGCTGCTGACGAGCAGTACTCATGAATGACTAAATAAATAAGCTGCAATCATGTAATTTTTTTTTTCACTCGGATTTTTTTAATCGCGTACACAATTTTTTTCCTGTTTATTAAAGCTTGGACGCTCTTTTAATTCAATATATAATTTAACATAATATTCAACAGTAGCCCAATCAATCAACCTCTTTTTATTAAAGTTTACTCAGTTGAAATTTTATCATTCTTAAAAGTCAGACATGTTATTAATATAAAAATTAAGTAGGATACATAATTGTGTTTTAACTATTAAGAAACATGTACGCTAAAGTGGCCTTCGAAATATTTGTCAATATTAACATGTGATAATTTTTTACTCTCAATTTTAATTTAAAAACATTTTTTAACACACAAAACATTTTTCAGTCAAAAACCAACATCACTAATGGTATGATGAAATTTGCAAATTTTTAACTTTTGATTAATAAACGAATCGAAAAAATCTAGTATCTACACCTTCGGTAACAAAAAGTAAAATAGCTACACATAAATACGAAATTCGTTCATTTCAATTTAGTTTCTCTTGATATAATGATTAGTTCAATCAGCGCAGACAGTGTTTTGTTTTCAATAACGAGGTATCTAAAGTTAAACTTTTAATCTAAAATCTTTTTTTATTATTAATATCAATTGAAAATTATCAAAATTAAATTCTAAAATATAGATCTGAAATACATATCGTTAGAATTGTTGTTACTTGACTGACAGTACAAAAATTTGCAATTTATTAAAGATTTTCTATTTGTGTCTTTTGATTATCATTTGAACAGCTGTGTTCAAATTTTCACTTTTTAAAATTTTAAATAAATTTTAACCTCGTCTGAAATATTTTTTTTGCATCATTTCCACATATTTTAATGAAAACAATTTTGCAGACAATAAAGTGAAGAATTTCAGCTTTGTGTGAGTGATAGGGAATTTAAAAGTGTCAAATTTAATTGATGTGGCTGCTGCAGCTCACAGAACAAACAGAAAAACTTAAAAAAAACTAAGTTTTAAAAACAAATTATAAAAAAAAACCTTTCATATGTTCTTAATAGCAACAAGTTTGTCATCAGTGCTGATCAATGATTAATATGACAAAAAAGTAAATTTAGTCATCAAACGTCAACAAACATAATTAAAATTTAATAATTACTCAAAACAATCAGGTGTAATCTCTGCACTTTTTACACGATAAAAACTATTTTTTCCATAACAGCACGCCACTTAATATAAACATGTATCGCTTAACTGCTTACTGTCAGCTGATTCACATCAATACTACGTGAATATATGTATATATTACACTAGGTATAATGAGAGTCTTTTCATACCAAACAATACAATTACACAAAAATAAAAATTAAGTGTCGTGATGCTAATTCCAATTACAAACTTTTTGTTCGTTCAGACGATGAACAAATTGCTGCTTAAAACAACAAATCGCCTGCTTGATTTCGGATAAAAAATCATTGCTGATCTTCGTTTTATTTCATTTTAATTCTAGATGGCAAGGAATTTCTACCTATTACTAAGTGACTACCTGCTTTTTATTATTGTTGTTGCAGCCACAACAGTCATTCCATTATGGGGTAGATTTTTTGGCAAGAAAAAGACGAGAACGAAGGCTGATTATGTCTTTGCAACCGGTGCAGTCTCGGCTGTATCGATGATGTTGTCGATTGCGAGAGGAACTTTGGGTGTGCGTTCATTCTTAGGTAAGAATTGTATTTTAAATCAATTTTAGTGGAAAATGCAGGGAAAAATATTATAAAAAAATTCCAAAAATTTCATGCAATTTAAATTAAGTTCGTATTTGAAGAAGAAAAAATATAAAGTTGAATTAGTTATAAACCGAATTCAAACGACTTTAGTTTAAATATTATTAGAATAAAAAAATGATAAAAAAATATAAATAGTGGAATGTAAAAAATTAAGAAGATAAAAAAAAGTAACACTTTTTATTTGTTAAAATTCTACAGGTTTCCCTAGCGAACAGTTCTACAGGGGCGCAGGCATGTGGGAGACACTCTATGGAATGGTGACAGCATATCCAATAGTTGCATTTGTGTTTATACCGGTTTATTTTAATCTTGATATTACCTCAGTTTATCAGTACATTGAACTGAGATTCAACAGTCGACTTGTACGTTGTCTTGCTTCGGGAACATACATATTTCGTTCAATACTGAATCTAGGTGTCACCGTTTTCACTCCAACTGTAGCACTTTATACAATAATTGGAATTCCTATTTGGATGTCACTTCTTGCAATTACAATAATCAGCATATTATTCAATTTATTGGGTGGTCTAAAACAAGCAATTACAGCTGACGTCATTCAAGTAGTTGTCACAATTGTAGTTTCTGTGGCGATTATAATACAATCAACCATAATTGCCGGTGGAGTTACAGATGTATTGAAAGAGAATTATGACTCAGGCCGATTGAACTTTTTCAATTTTACTGGAAGTATGAAGACCAGAGTCGACACAACTTCTGCATGGCTGGGACAGCTCTTCATGTCATTAAGTTTGTTTGGATGTCAACAAAATTTCGTTCAGAGATATTTGAGTATGAAGAGCATTAAGCAAGTTACAAGGTGAGTTTTTCTTGTTATTTGTGCCCTTCCATAGACTTCTCTTGCGGCTCTCTTAATAACAGTTTTAGATAATTTTCTAAAACGAGCTGCTCAATTTTTAAACGATTGATTGTGGAATTGCCAAATTCTTTTCCGTGATGAAAGATTAAGTCAATTAAGTCAGTTCTTATGAAGGTCTTTTAAAAAACTAGCTTTCAAGAGACATATCGACAGAGAGCTTAGAAAAAAAACTCTTTTATCCTTAATTCTTAATTAATAATTATCTTTTTAATTTCATTTCAGAATGCTCATGCTGAATATTCCAGTCATCATCTTTTTATTCTCACTCTCGTGGATCGTTGGAATGTGCATTTACTCAGTATATTCAGACTGTGATCCACTAAAATTTGGATACACAAAGTCAGCCGATGCCATTCTTCCATTCTATATTCAGGACAAATATTCATTCATACCCGGACTAATTGGAATATTTTTGTCGACACTTTTTAATAGCGCATTAATTCTAAACGTATCAAATCTCAACTCATTAGCTACAGTTACATGGGAAGATTTTTTGTCACAATTACCGCAATTTAAGGGAATGCCTGACAAAAAGCAACTTAAGATAATCAAATTTGTTGGATCTATTTACGGTTTAATGATAATGGGCGTGGGATTTCTAGTGCAACTACTCTCCGGCGTCATAGAAAGTGCACAATTAATGACAAGTGCAACGAGTGGCCCATTACTAGGAGTATTCCTTCTCGCGATTTTAGTGCCATTTGCTAACTGGAAAGGAGCTTCTGTGGGCATGATTATGTCACATTTAATTATTTTGTCAATTACGTTTGGACATCTTCAAACTGACAAATCTGTGCAGTTCTTGAATACATCAATTACTGGATGTACAAATGATACATTTTCAAGTGACATCCAACAACCAGCGGTGTCAATGCTCATCAGTTTATCACATACTAACCCAATTTTTGTGGATAATTTTATGGAAAATGCAACAAAGTTGCCATTTATACATACAGCAGAAAGCACTTCGGCACCATTTAAAGATCTTTTAAATGAAATCTTCTCCATATCCTACATGTACTATAGCTTTATTGGCACATGCATAACAGTTGTAATCGGCTCAATTGTGAGCTTATTGACAATGTCAAAAGCTGATGCTTATGACTCAAAGTATATCCATCCATTCGTATTTAAATTAGCAAAAATATTTCCGGGCCATTCTTATTTGTTCTCCGATGGTCATCAGCTAACAGACTCTTTGAAGAAAAACAGTTCAAATGTTATAGTTGAGCACGATAACTTAGCATTTGATATAAAAAATGAAGAATCTAAAGACAGCAGTTTGAGAAGTTTAAATAAAATTCATGTGATATCTGGAGATCATAGTCAGGTGCCTGAAGGTGAAAAATATAGAAAATTAGAATATGTGTGATTAAATTGAAGCTCCTTTTTAACTTAATAGCTATTAATAGTAAGAATCGTAAATTTAAAAATTGGATCAAAAATGTTTTAATTGTAATTTACAAAATAGACATAAACATGTTAACTAAGAGAGAAACAAATGAGTCTTTTGAGTCATTCAATAATTCCGCTAATGGTTTAAATGAGTTGTTGTCTCAATCAAATTTTTGAACTTTGTAATAATTGAATGATCTCTTTTAATAGTTAACCAAATGTTGAGTATTTCCAAGTAATCTGTGATGGATCATACTACATATTTGTAATTATTAAGAATCAAGTATATTTTAAATTATGTCATGATTTTTAAATTTTTATGTTCCTTCGTTGTATCAAGTTATTAAGTAAAATATAATTATTCAAAAATGTGAATTTAATCTGTATTAAAAGTCTACTTAATTCTAATTGCTAAGCTTTGGGATTGAATATGACCAGGCATGATCTCCTCTTCGCCTTTTCCCGCTTCAATTTATCTTTTAATTTCCTTTTCTCATTCCAACTGCTTCATTTTTTGCTGTACATTTGTTGACGACGAAAATTTACGACAGCAAATTTATATCTCTACGTACAGCCTATAAATGTTGAACCTAATCGTGAAACATAAAGTGCATAAAACTTGCTATCATCTATAAATCTTCTCTTTATTGAAAATTTTACACATTTGCATCTTGACATAATTGTAAGATGAAAGAGGTGTATTTGGGGATTACCTCCCATTAAAGTACACTTAACCTTTTGTTAAAAATTAACTACATTTGCAACAGTTATACTTAGATTTATAAATAAGAGAAGGAGTTTAAGCACTTTGAGAATTTCCCCCGACTTTTTAATATCGTTTGTGCGAGCGTGGAAAGAAATTTACTTCCCTTTTGATTAAATTAAGTTGATATACATAAAGCAAAAGCCATCAATCTTCTCAATAAAGTTCTCGTACATAAAATCCACATCCACATGATTTTCTATCAAACGTTGATGTTTTAATTAATCGAACGAAAACCTATTCAACGATTAAATGAATGAAAGTGCAAAAATAATTTTTTTCACCACACATGATGAACGTTTGATTAAGGAAAGGAATGGTGGATGTGGTAAATGAGGAGAGGAACAAATCATTTAGACAACACAAAGCACTATGCCGTAAGTGATGAAAAAATATATAGAGAAATATATACACTGCTGGCTAGTGGATATAGATATAAAATTCATGTTACATAATACTCGACTGATGATTTAATAATCTTTTCGGAATCATGGCTCAGTGAGTAATTAAGTTCGATGGATAATTTTTTATGAGCAGTAAATTAAATTTAATTGTTGACGAAATAAAGTTCGCTTAAGAGTTGTCACCACTCTAACCGGGAATCTCTGAAAATCACGAAAATACATTTTCAACTGAATCGTTCTTATAATGAAGTTAAAAATTATTTTAATTTTTTGAAAAACGTTTTAATTTTTGAATTTAAACCATACATCACTAAATTTGAGAGTTATATATGAATGCTCATTTTCAGCGTAATTGAGTAAACCTCTTATTGTTATTGATTAATCAATAACGTATATTGAAATAATAAATTGAATTTTATCATTTGGGAAAAGTTTCATGACCCAAGAAATATTTCTTTTTCCCCCTCGATTTTCCACTCGTCTTCCCTCTTTCTTATATACCCTCTGAAGCGAGAAGACGTCACAAATTTTGTAAGGGATTTATATTCCACATTTTTAATAGTTTAATTAACTATTCTTTTATTCACCATCAGTGAAAAACGTTAGCCAAACGGCATAGAATAAATACATTGAATTGAAAAGAATTCGGAGTATTTTTTTTCTACGTTTCTTCAATTCCAGCGACGCCAGTATTACTCGCGAACACTTATCGTTAAGAGAATTTCAATGGAAATTGATGCAAATATTAAAATTTAATAATGTGAACTGCCTAATTGAACTGCCTAATTTGTTATACTCTTTGGGTTTTTCTCGTGGATTTTTGAAGGGTTTTTTGTCACTTATAAACCACTTATAAAAAAATTACATTAGCAGGGTGTAGAAGTGGTTAAGTAAATTATATTTTCAGATGCAATGCTAATTAAACAATGTCGATATTTTAAATTTCACTTTAATTGAATGTGAAGATGAGAGAATATCAAAAACAATGTTACGTTGGGACTGTATGTAAATTAACTTTTATTATGATACAAAATTCCATTAGAATTGATTAAAAATGTAATTGGATGCTGAATAAAAATAATTATATTTTGCTAGAAGGTAGACAGAAAAAAAAAAACAATTTTTAAACCTGATGAAAAAAAACATTGAGCTTTTGATGTGCATCATCATAATTTTGATTATTATTAAAAGTTAAGTGATGTTATTGACATTTATATTGGCTTATTATAATTGTGAAAAATCAAAATTTAAATACCCTGTAGATTTTTTTTTGAGAAGAGTGTATTTATTATGTTTCATTGAAGGGTGGAGGTCGGGGGGTCTTATTATTATAAAAATGAACTCTTAATTCTCTACCATTTTTTCATAAGCTCTCCTTTGTTAAAAAATTTGTGTGAAATTCTATGTTTGCGAGTTCTTACAAAATCATAGACCCACTTTTTTCTAAAGAGCAAATGTAATCAATAAACACACCACGACCAAGTATTAAAAAGTTAAAAAAAATATTCTTCCAAATATTCACCTTTCTTAAAATTAAATGTCAAGAATATTCAAACATCCAGCAGAGTTCATTAAAAATTAATTAAAATCACCATATACTGCTGTATTCGATAACTGCATATAATAGTGGAATTTATTGATATACTTTATTTTCTCAATCAACATCGGAGAATAGTCGGATAATAGATAACATTCCAGTCATAAGAATTTCAATCAATTTACTTTATCGTCCCCGCATACATCTTATTACCAGCAATAATCAAAAATCAATTAAAATTGTTTTAATTGTAAACTAATACAAAATGGAATATGTTAGAAACACTATATGAGTAGTGAGAAAGAGCACTGTTTTTTAAAAATAAAATCAAAATTAAAAAGATTAAAATATATATTTCTTTAAAAATTTCTACTATAGTAAAGCGATTCCATGAGTGAAAAAAAAAATTTTAAAGCTATATTATGGTTTTATAATATGAAATATCATGTTATTTACAGATAAAGTATAGGATTCTATAATTAATTGTGTCAAACAAAATACATTTAAAAAAAAAAACAACTTAACATGTAGAGTTAACCGATTAAGTTATGTTTTTCAGCGATATCTATTTTAGACAGATATAGATTTTTAAAAAAACTATTTTTTTTACTTTTGGAATCACCCTGTAGAAGATGTGACACTGTCCAAATATCCTGACCATTTCTTGTTGAATTATTCATCATCACATATTTGAAAACATTTTTTCTGTTTTCATGTCCACATATCCCCATAAGCACATCCATTTTATTCAAAAATGTTTAAGTACATAAAAAAATCTTATTCCAACAGACTTTTAAACAAAAGTTTCATTTTTTTGCTCGCAATTTATAAATCAACATTTTGCACTCAACTCATACATTTTGTATGACATTCTCTCTAAATGCAGGAACAAATTGATTTAACTAAAAATTTATCCTGAAGTGGTTTTGAGGATGTATAAAATAAAGTCCGGGAATGAGGAAAGGGTTAGACAGAGTATATTAAATTAAAGCTCACATGGTATTTAAAAATCATGATTTGCTTTTTAAAAAATATTCCTGTTGGTGGTTGTTTGGAGTTTAGATTCACTTTATGGCTTGAAGAGTTATTTAAAGTTAATGTTGATTGTGCAATAAGCAATTTCGAAACACAAAGGTGAGTTAAAAAAATCAAATTTGAAGTCCGGAATTTTTCATATTTTTTTCATTATTTTTGATAAAAACTTAAAAAAAACTATTTTTGTTAACGATTAGCCTATCTATTAAGAGTTTTAACCATTCATAATTTATATTTTGAATACTTAATGAATTTTCTACAAAACCAAGTATCCAGCAAGCTGCATCATAGTTTTTTTAATACAAAAAAGGCGGAGAGGACAAAAGAAAATTTATACATGACAACCAAGTTTATGCAAATATTGTACATTTTATGAAATTTATGAGCATCTGGTGTTCTAGAATTTATTTTAAAAATTTACATATTTGCTGATATTCTTTTGTACTTTTTCACTTCTTTTGTCCTGTTTTTTTTTTTTTTTTTGGTTAAGCAGAAGAAGATTTTCATCCCTTTTTATGGCATTTGCAAACCTTATTTTAGAAAAATCTTCTAATTTCATTCTCTTTATTTAATTTCTTTTTGAAAAACGATATTTTGTTTTAAAAGAAAAGAAAGTTGTTGGAGGATGTGAATTTTAAATATGAAGAAGAGTTTGAAAAATTAAAATTTATGGATTTATAAATTGAACAAAATGGAATTTTACGAGACGATTCATAACTGTCAAAAATAATTTCATGAAATTTTCCCGCGAAAATAACTGTGATGAAGTAGTAGTCGATTTAAAAAAAGTCGAGAGACGCTGAAGATGGGACACTTATAGAAATTGTGGAATTAAGATGTTGTTTCAAATCTTTAAGTTACTTTAATCAAGTTATTAACAATTCCAATAAATTTGCTGATTTTGAGTTCTAGTGTACTTTTAACTCAAACATGCTTTTTTCGTTTAATTTTATAAGTTTGTATGCATAAAAATAAAAACTTTTTAAGCCTTTTTCATCAATAATTTTCCATGATTTTCCATTAATGTTCTATTGAATATGAAATAGCTATGCACTGCAATCATCAAGCAACAACCTTTTTTGTGCAGACTTTGTTGTTAGGAAATGTTTCTCAATAGCAAAGTAATGCAATATGTTATCCTATCATTTATTTTGTACACGAAAAAGAGGGTGTGGAACTAGATTAAAAAAATATCACAATTTACCATCAAAGCAATTAAAAAAACTAAAATCTAATGCTGAAACTTTTGATTAAATTTCCAGTATTCAAACATTTTTAACATTTTAAAATAACCCCTTGCAAGAGCATAAAGAATTTATTTGAATGACAAATGAGTGAGCAAAATGCACTATTATACTCGTTTCTTACGAATAAGGTTTTAAAATCGAGCAAAAGATGAGAAAAAGGTGAAGAATTCAAAAAGTTTATTTCATATTAAAAAAATTGAAAAAGAGAAATGGAATGTTTGTCATACCATCTAATATATATAAAAATGGTCGTATGCATGTACGTGAATGAGGAAAAGGATCGGAGAAGGAAGAAATATGTTCATACGATATAAAAATACAATAGAAATTCCATTTGAAT